AGCGGGGGACCGGGAGCACCGGGAGGGGGGAACCGGGAGCAGGGTGGAAGGGCAGCCCGGGGAGGGGTGACCGGGAGCAGCTGGGGGACACAGATGTGGACAGGGACACCTGTACTGTGCACCAGGGAAGGTTTAGGTTGGGTATTTGGGAAAATTTCTTCCCAGAAAGGGTTGTCCAGCCCTGGCACAGCTGCCCAGGGCGGTGAGGGAGTCCCCGTCCCTGGAGGGATTTAACAAACGTGGCATGTGGCACTTGGGGACATGGGGTAGTGGTGGCCTTGGCAGTGCTGGGGGAGTGATTGGACTTGATGTTCTCAGAGGGCTTTACCAACCCAAACGATGCCATGATTCCATGTGGAGCAGAAGGGGACATGGGTGCAGGAGAGAGACCCGCAGCCCCTCTCCAGGCAGCTCTGCTGGGACGCTGTCACTGTGGTCCCATGCCCTGTCCCATGCAGCCCATGAGCATTGTCCATCCTTTGTGCCAGTGCCGGGCCCTGCTGTGGCATCCCCACGGTGCCGTGGCAGGTGGGCATGCTGCCATTGGCAGTGCTGACTAGGATGTTATTTTTGGAAGAGCTCAGGCTTCCCAGCCAGCTCTCAAAATGCTGCAGACTCAGGATATCTTTCTCTCTGCTTGGGAACACCAAGGAATTCTCTCCCAGCTCCCATGAATAACCGTGTAAAAGATGACGAAGCAGTGTGTCACGTGCCCAGACTGGCAAAGCCAAGCCCGTGCCAGCAGCAGGAAGGTGGTTGGCACCGAGCCCTTTACCCAGGGTGAGGCCTTTCCCAGGATGCAGTAACCGGAGGAGAAGGGGGATACAGAGGTGTCACCATGCTCAGCACCCATGGGGACGCAGAGACCTGGCATTGCTGTGCTCACCATGCCACACCACTGCTCCTTCACCTGGGGAAAGGAGCCAAGGGAGCATCTGGTGTCCTGTCCCACTGGAACTGGAAACCCTGCTGCCAACCCCAGTGGGTGATGGCAAGGCTGGGGACAGGCAGGGCAGAGGACAGGGTGCTGTGGCTGGTGCAAGGGGACTCTCTCCCCTCGTCCTCCTCTCCCTGCCCTTCCAGGCAGCTCCACTGTGGAAATCTGAGGT